AAAAAAAAAAAAAAAAAAAAAAAAAACACTGAAAAGAACTCTTTCATGGAAGGGGGATTGGATTTATTCAATGCTGTTCTAAAAGGTAACAATTATAGACAACAAGTGAGAGTAAATTTTTAACTCTTTACGGTCTAATAACCAAACTGTCCAAAACAAAATAGTATTGAATTCTACTTACTCAAGTAAAATTAAGCCATGGTTATATATTTTCACTAAGAAAATTATACATTATATGAAGCCGTCTATAATTACCATAATGAAGACTATTATCAACATGACAAATGAGTGTGTCATGTCAATGGCAAAAAGGAGAATATGAAGTATGTGCGTATGCACTGTGACCCCAGCTCCGTATATATGACAGCAGGGAATACAAGCACCCCCACACACAAAAGAGACATACTGCTTCACAAAGTGTGGGTGTGGTTTCCTATCACTCCAAATGATAGGAGAGGCTAGACAACCTCTTAGAAGGAACGGCTTTCAAGAAATGATGTGTTAGGGAAAGGGGTGAGCTGGAAGAACCTTGAAAAAATTTGAAATTCTATGACCTCATGAAATACATTGTTAAATTGTGATAATGCAAAGTAGTGTTTTTTTAAAGTAACATTACAGACATTAGGCCCCTCAAATATCTTCATTTCTTACCAATTAAAATAGGTAAAAAACATGTAATCCCAAGAGACCCAAAGTTCTGGGCTTTGTGGTCTAATGGGGACATTGTAGTATCAGGTGATAGATGTTTCTGGCCATGATTTCTCTTCTGCCCCAACAAAAACCTGTTAACCTCTCTGCACCTCAGTTCCTTCCCTGGAAAGGAGAAAGTTGCATGCTTTCTAGTTCTGAAAGCATGATTTGTCTTGATTATTTTGTTTGATAAATATGAAGGTGGGCAAGAATTAGAAGCCACCTGAATTTTGTAAAAAGGAGTTTCTAAGAACACTAACAAAGGAATAACTTTAGGAGAATTTAGGCCCCCAAATCAGGGAGGATTTTTATTCCCCTACCAGGCTCAAAAAGAAATAAATGATTCCTTTTATAATTCAGTGGGTGAAAAGTTGAGCTCTAGGATACAGGCTTCCACAAGAAGGGTTTTCTAGTAAGGTCTCTGTTTTCTGTGTAAGATGATATCAGATAGTCACCTCCATTGGCTTCTTAGCCTTTGATTCTTAGCAAGAAGATGCTCTTTTTTCCGTGCCCAGAGCTGACCAGAGTTCTCAACAGAATGTCAGGCCCATTTGAATGGAAGAGATCCTTTTTTTTTCCTTCCAGAATTGAGGATTTTTCACTGTTTATTTTTATGAGTTGAAATTCACATAGTGCAAATTAACCATTATAAAGGGAACAATTCAGGGAATTTAGTACATTCATCATTCCCTTCATCTCCCAGTCCCTGCAACTACCAATCTGTTTTGTGTCCATGGATTTACCTATTCCAGATATTTCACAGAAATGAAATCATATAATCTGTGGCCTTTTAATCCTAGGAAGAGAAATTTTCAATTGTTCTTAAGTACATAATTTAGGAAGAAACCATATTTATATAAGAAAATACATAAACATTATCATCAGTTTACCAAAACAAGAATATTACTAAGACCTGGCATTCGCAAAACATCTAAAGTGCTTTAGGGGTACAAAAAGGCCTATTAATTGTCTTTGTACTCAAAGGGCCCACAGTTTGATAAGAGGGTGACAGAGAAAGAGGATTGAGAGCCCAATAGGAAAGGCAACTCTTCCCTAACAAGCCGAAGAATCATGGCAAACAAGTGAAACTTGGAACTTTGAGGTCCTCCCTTCCCCCCACCAAGGAACGGTACTAGGAGTAGCTAGAATTCTTGGTTGCAAGTTCCAGAAATACAATGGAACTAGCTTAACCTGAACAGGGCAAAACTTACTATGGGGAAGCAGGGTTGGCTTGTGGCATGTGGTAGAATAAAGCCTAGACTCAAAAGAGATACTCAGCATTTCCCTCTCTCCTGTTGGCTGCTATGCACACTTTAGCGTCGATTCATCGTTTGCTCTCTGCTCCTGTGAACAAAAGGTGACCATCCCCCAGTTCCCAAGATTCTATCTCCTCTGTTCAAAAGCTGTGGAAGTCGTGATCATAGCCTCCGGAATCAGACAGAGATGAGGCTAGATTCTCGCTCTGGCATTTGGGCTGTGACACTTGAGTGCGTCATTTCACCTCCCTGACCTTGGTTTCTTTATCAACAATAGCGCTTACCTCAAAAGGTTCCTAAGAAATCTAACCAGAAAACATACTTAAAGAACAATCTCTAGCATATAAATCTTCATTAAATATTAATTACTATTCCTGGTGTTAATATTACTATTATTAAAGAAGCCAGCCCTGACTGACTGGGTCTCAGTCACAAACGCAGATTGCTAGGAAGGAGACTGATCCGACTTGAGTCAGGTGGTGGCCCCGCCTCCATCAGCTGCAGCCAGAGGGTGGAGACACAACCAACAGAGACGGCCGCCAGAGGCACACGGCTCTGCCAGCCGCCAGGCGCTACAGAACCCAGAAGAAAAGATGCCAGGAGCTAGACAAAGGAGGTATGGAGAGACTCGCTCTGCCCAGCGGGCAGCTCCCGGGCCCGGGCTGTGCAGGAAGTGTGCTGCGGGCCTCTGGCCTTAGCTGAAGGGGCTCTCCAGGGCTGATCTTTGCAACTCGTTCTACTGCTTAATTCAGCTGTTTTGATTAGCTAACCTCCTGGCTTTGAAATCAGTGTTTACTTTATTTCCTTTTTGTAAATCACTTTAGCTTGTTTGGGTTATTCTTTTATTCTCTCTGACTTGAGTTTTAAATTTTATTTTATGTTAATTGTTGTTAGCTCATGGTTTGCTTGCTGCCTTCTGCTTTTATTCACTTTTTCTTTTTGGGGGGTGGAGTGGACAAGGGGTTAATTATTTAACCTAGTTTCCAGTAACATTTAATCTTTATTCAACTGCTCTCTCTTATTTCTTATTCTGCTATTTTAACCCTTTTTTTTTTTTGTCTACAATTTTTAGTTCTCTGAAATACTGCCATTAAAAAATGCAGATTGAGGAGTTCAGCTGGGAAGGCAGCCCTTTTGCCCTAAGGGGCCAACAGGGAGTCCTTCCCACTTCAGCCATCCTGTATGAGGTCCCTGCCCCTGAGACTGATCTGTGTACAGATCTTACAGCATCAGCATAATCCTCCTTTCCTGGCCCCTCTGTGCAGGTTTGGCCTCAGGCTCTTTCCCACCCCACTCTGCTTCTACTCTTTCAGGAGAAAGTGGGACCCATCAGTAGATCAAGTGGGCAGTGAGCCCGTCTCCTCCGGAGAACAAATACACGAAGCTTGCATCTCTGCCCAACCATCAGTGGCACAGGACTCACCACTGTGGATGAACAAGGCCCTCTCATGACTGGGGAGCTGCAGGGCAGCCCTACTACCTCGTCTCTTCTCTGTCCCCATTTTCTCCCTGGTTGATCTCTTAGATACATCCACATGCTGATGACCTCCAAATCTGTATCTTCAGAGCACAACCTCTCTTCTGAACTCCATAAAACTAGCTTTCCACATCTCAACCTTACTGTGCCCCAAACTGAACTACTGCTTCTCCCCTGTGCAGAAACAGTTCATCCCAGTATCTTCCCTATCTCCAATAACACCATTCTTCAGTCATAGGCCAGAAATATCTCGGGCTCACCTTCTCCTACTCCTTTTTTCTTGCAGCCCATATCCAGTCAGTCAGCCAATGCTGTTGCTTCTGCCTCAAACTTTCCTCACCTTTCACTGGGGCTGCTGCAGTGCCTATTAACAGGCCTTTCCTTCCATCTCTGCCTCATGATGTAACAACTAGGGTGATCCTCAGAAATATTTGTCAGACCACATTATTGCACTGAAAACCCTCCAATGGCTCCCCATCTTCTTGACTGTGAGCTACAGGGTCTACGTGATCTGCTCCACCACCCAGTTCTTTACCTTCAAGCTGCCTATCTAACCTCATCTCTTACCATTTTCCCCAGCTCTGCTGGCTTCCCTGCTGTTCCTGCAGCACCAATCACGCTCCCACCACAGGTTTTTGTATGTGCTCTTCCCTCCTCTGGGAACTCTCTTCCTCCAGATATTCACGTGGCTCAAGCCTTCACTTCCTTTTGGTTTAAACTCAAATGCCATATTATATTATCACCCTGTATATCCCTCCTCTTCATTCTATCCCCCTATTCACTTTATTTTTCTTCGTAGTCCTTGACACTGACACAATAGGTTGCTACGTGTTCACGTCTCTCTTCACTAAAATGCAAGCTTCACTGTAAGAAGATACTCTTTCCAATTTGCTCACTGCTATATCCCAAATGTCTAGAATAATGCCTGGCAATAAAAGATGCTCAGTAATTCTTTGACAACTTACTGAATAATTTAAAAAATTATTTAACAAATCCTGGTATTGTAATTAAAGCAGCATTTTCACAGTGTGTGTGTGTGTTGAGGGGGAAGGGGTGTTGGGAAGAGGGAAAAGAAAAGTGAAAAAGTTAAAAGGAAGGCATCAACCATTGATTGAACTCCCCCTGTGTGCCAGGCACTGTGTTAGATGTCCCTTTTGGGTTATTACTTCAATCCTAAATTTTGCAAGAAACATAAATGGCAATATACATTCAGCTCTGGTGGGTTATCTGAAAGCTATCTCCCATTATCTATTGTTTTTCACTCAAGCTATATTACTATTTGCCTGCCTGCTTCTAGCCTTTAGTAAGTAAGTCTGCTAATCGTGATGTTATATGTTTTCCCCCTTATCTGTAGGACAACAATTATGTCAGGTAAAGCTGGACTGACATATTTATCCTGGTGAATTCAAAATGAAACATGAGCCATAAAAAAGGATACAAAGTATTATGGGTTTACAATGAAAGGAAGAATTAACTTCAGCATGTGGAATCAAAGAAGACTGGCAAAAAGGTAGCATTTGATCTGGACCCCAAAGCATTGATAAGCTTTGTAAGCTCAGAAGTCTAATATGAGGCAAGCTATTATGTGAGGACTGGCAAAAAACTCTTAGAGTGCCTGGTGTGCAGAGAACCTTTCAGTCAGTGGGATGGGCAGCACCTACGGTGGCTCCCGTGGCCCCCACTTCCTGGTATTTAGACTGTTGTGTTATTCTCACCACTAGAGTGTGAATGGGACCCATTACTTATTCTAGCCAGTAGAATATGGCAAAGGTGGGATGTGGGTTAGGTTCCATAAGAGTGTGACTTCCATCTTGCTAGCACATTCTCTCCATTGCCTTCTTGGCTCGTATGCTTTCACGAAACAAACTTGCACATTAGAGTAGTCCATGTGGCAAGAAACTGTAAGAGTCTGTATCCAACAGACAGCGGGAACTGAGGCTCCAAGCCCGGCAGTGTCCCCAGTCAACCTTTCAGATGACGTCTGAAATCATGGTTAACTCCAGTCCTGTGAGAGGCTCTCCCTTAAAGGATCCAGGATTCCTGACTCACAGAAACTGAAATTAATAAATGGGTATTAATTTAAGCTGCTAAGTTTTGTGGCAATTTTTTATGCAGCAACAAATAACTAATTCAGGAAGGGACAAATGAAACATTTGCAGTTCATTTAGTACATAGTTATGAGGGGTTCTCTTTATGCAATTACTGTTATAGTTACTTAAAAGCTTGGGAAGGTCAATGACAGAAAGACCCTACCCTCAAGAAGTCTAGAGCAAGAAGGTAAGATGTGCTCACAAATAACTATCAAACAAGGTGGAAAGTGTTAAGCCACCAGGAGTAGCTGGAGATGATCCATTGGAAACTCCTGGTGGAGGGGCATTTGAGCTGGAACTTAATTAGCAGGTTGGACATGCAGCAATAGGCAATGGACTGTTCCTAAGCAAATGCATGGAGGGTATGGACAACAGACAGTACACAATTCCTTAGGGTGCAGGGCACATATAGGTAAACAGAATTGGAGAAGTAGGCTGGGACCATATTGTGAAGCTCCTTGAATGGTGGGGAAACAGCTCCAAGTCAAAATATTTTTTGAGCATTTGTTCTAAATTGCCAAAAACAATACAGTCCCAGTTTCCTTTATGAAACCTTCCTCATTCCACAACTAATACTTTTAAATATTGGGCCAAAGGTAAAATCTTCCTGGGTTTTTGTGATGTCCCAGATCATTTAAGATTGCTTATCCATTGAGACTTTCTGAAATGAATGGCTCACTGCATTTTATAATGCAATTGAAGACCTGAGTATCATTGAAATTAAGAGATTTATACCATCTATAAAGTGTTGTATGCGTTTGAGCTATGTGTGAATTATTTTGTCAATGTCTTTATTTGTTTTCGGCGTAGAAAACTCTTCCAACTATGTTTTTCCCTCCAAATGACATTTACTTTAACTATTCTCATTTACTCAGTAGGGTTTGGAGGTAGGCCATGTGTCTGCAAAATGTGTACTTACGTCTAATTTGTACACAATTTTTGCTTGTAATTTAATCAAAGATAGCTGAAATGGCACTCAAACAGTTCTCACTTCTACATTTACCAGTGTGTGATCACTTGAAAATCCATCCCAGAACATCTTGAAATTAATACTTCACTGGAGGCTTTCCCTACATAATCTCTGCTAGTTACACAATTCTTTGCAGAGGTTCTCAAGGTGTTTCAAAAGCTTTCTTCTCAACCAGCAGGATATGGTTCATTTTATAGTGTTTCATATATTGCTTTAGAAGATAGTACAAGCTTACCACCTTACTCTCCTAATGTAAAAGTTTATTGCAATATTCTGTAATTGCATTTCAAGTTCTATTTAAATGCCCCAAACAGCATATAACCAAGAATTCCTTTGGCTTTCTTTCAGCAAATAGTGATTTTGACCTTGTCTCTCTTAATTTTGCACTGTATGTATCTAATCATACTTACAGAACTTGCAAGTTCTGTAATTCTGTGACAACAGCTATCCAACAATCACATTAGCATCCCCACACTTTCCAAGCTAAAAACCACTTACAATTCAGTGTCACGATTTTTTTTTTTATTGTAATGTTTAAGCAGCCTGGAGAATTGATGGCGTTTAGCAGAGGCCGCAGTCCTAACCAAGGTTTGTAATTGACCTCTGGGAGGCTACAGCCTTTTCCTTTCTTTGGAGGGCTAATTAGTGAAAGCTGCTGGGGTGTGCAAGGCCACAGCAGCAGGAGGAGGAGAAGCCCTGAAGTCTCCTCAGGGTTTGAAACCACATGGTTCTTTTCCCATCAGAACAGTTCCATAGAAGCAGGAGAGGCTTAGTGTTTCTAGAAAAGAAAAGCTCTTCAAATACAGTATTTACAATTTGCAAAGAATTCTCCAATTAATATTCTAAATAATTTAGTAGTTTACTTCTCTAAATCTTGCATATATAAAACAAATTCATTCATTTATTATTATTTTAAATTTCCAAAGAATTCACTTTGGAGTATGTTTGAGTATATTTAAGTAGTAAGTTCCTTGATTCACTTAAAATAACTTTACAATACAATTGACACTGAATTATTTTTAATAATAAATTCCTTTAAGGGCTATAATTTGATTTTTTAAATTATGATTTATACCCCTATAAATTTTGCATATACTTAGTAACCTGGTACAATGTGTGAATGGTTCAGAAACCATCTTTACATCATTTAACTTATCTGGTTGAGACCAGGATTGGAAAGGAGCAGAGAGAAGTTTTGGCATTTGAGGAGTAATATAGCTCAAAGAGCTGTATAAATTTTTAAGAAATCATTAATGTTCTTTAATTTTTCCAATATCAAGCAGCTGGTTTCATGAAAAGCTTACATCTTTTCCTTCTTCAAACACATGTTTTTATTATTTTGTTTCCAAATGCACTGCTTAAAATAAAAAGATTTATTTTCAGACTCTGATCTTGACTATTGCAATTCTCTTTTAATTTCAGCCCCTCAAGGTCAAAAGATTTTATTTACTTTTCATTTTTGTCATGATAGCACAGATCTAAAATCTCTTGAATGTTTTTCTCATAATTTCTCTGTATATTAAATTGAAAATTTTCTCACTCATAATATCCAATGCAAGTCTCTTCTTGTATTTTATCTATTCTTCTACCCACATTCACCTATAATCTCATTTTCTATCTTTTTAAATTTAAGTTCTTATACATTATTCCACCCAACCCATTGCATAATAAATTATGGGTCCACTCCTAAGTATATTCATATCCATTCATTCAAAGCACTTTAATCTAATATTGACAACCAGAGTCTAAATTATTAAGCAAATCTGTATTTACTACTAAATTCAGAATAAAGTTGAGTGGCTGATCATCAGAAGACAATGTTTCTCTACAAGATTATAAATTCCAGAAAGGCAATGACCTTGTGGTGTTAACTTTTATATTCTGTGAATATTCTGGAAACATAGATATATTTCAGTAAGTACTTTTGGAATGAATGAACACTGGGAGGTGAGTACTATCATTTTCCTCATTTTATTGATGAAGCCACATCATTATGGTAAAGCCAAGATCCAAACACAAATGGAGAATTCTGGACTTCATGTTCTTAATTACTATGTAATTCTGCCTCTCTTAGCAATAAAAGACCTCAAAAAGTTCCACTTAGAATTAGGCTCTGTTAAATATATGTGAACTTAGCTAACTTAGCCTACAGGAAAAAGAAAATTTAACACCCTTTAGATGAAGATTTTTTTAAAGCAATATAATATTCTCACACAATCTCATTCAAGCATGGGAAACATAGCCAGAATACTAAACATTTAGATCTTGGAAAATCTTTAATATATAATTTCTGCTGTAGAATTAACTTTTACCCAAGTGTCAAAACCTTGTAATATAGTCTTGCAAAAACAATAGGTGATCAGAAGGGTGCACTTTTAGGTATATAAAAGATTGAGATCAATATTATGCTATCACACATCAAACACATGGTTTGCACATCAAAAGGAACATGGGAGGCAAATGCCAAGGAAACCCAATGGAGAGCAGTGTACTTAGCAAGCTGGATTCATCTCTCAGATGCCGATAAATAGATCCTAACTTTTCTCTTTAGGAAACCTATGTAATTAATTTTCATTTTTAAAGCTCAGATATATCTTTTGCACACTAGGTTGCGTGCAGATTGCATAACGATCCATGATATACTGGTAGTCAAGAGTTTAGTAACATCAAGTTGCTTCTGAATGTCCATGGCTACCAAGTCTTGACATTACTATACAAATGATACTTTTGGTCAGGAAAGTCCCAGAAGGTGACGACATGCAAAGTCAGCAGTAATTATTTTTCCAGTAGGTTGCTTCTGGTTTCGAGGGGATTGAGTTCAAAATTTAAGAATCTTTGGAAGGATGAAATGCTAGGGCTCTGAGGCATAAGTGCCCCCACTGAAGTTCAGCCACAGGGAGGAAGGGATTGGGAGTGTCTCACAGCCCCGGCAACAATCTCCATAATTATTCACAACCACTCACACTTACTGGACTTAGTTGAACCCCCCATCAAATTCGGATAAAAATGCAATCTTATTTTCTTAAGAGTTATTAAGATACTTTTAAAACTATTTTTTAAGTCCCATGAGGAGTATCAAGTATAGGAATTCCTTATGAATTAAAAAAACAATTTGGAGATTAGGTTGAAATGTATCTTTTTTCTTTATGAAAAAATGTTAGCCTTTTAAATTTAAAAATTAAAAAGTTGCAAGGCACATGTTCACCTATTTAAAAAAGCAAACTATTTCCAAATACCATAGAATATTTTACATAAAAGAGATAATTATATTGTAAGTAGAAGCTAGTATTGATTTTATTTAGTTACTATATTCATTTTATCCAAATCAATGGAGATTTACATAATTGTTTATTCAGTCTGTGTATATTGAAATATCTCTTACTTCATATGATTATCATTATTATACCATCAGTCTGTACTTATAAAGCATTATTTATTATAGGTACATAACAAATGCATATTATAAATATCATGTTATATAATATATTATTATTTTGTTCTTTCTATTTGTGAATAGAAGGATCCTTAGGTGGCCATAAGTCCCAGATGGTATCTCTAGGATGTGAGAAAGCGGTTGGTCAGGGACAGTAGAGCATAGCACCCCTCTCACAGACAGGGAAAGAGCCAAGTCTAGCAGAACCACTGTTTCAGAAGCTATGTTCTGGTCAAGGAACTGAAGAGGTCAATTTTCTCTGTCACTGGAGCTTGGACTACTCAGTATGATCAAAGAAACAGAGATGAAAGTCCTGCCAACCCTGAAAATTAAAAGCCAGAATTCAGGGACAGCTTCTTTAAAAAACTGGTTGCCATAGAAAAAAGTTATAAATAAGAAAAGGTCTTCAGTGGCCTCCACTTATCACAATGCAGTGTGTGTGACACTCACATAATGTCCCCTTTTGCTCCTGTTCCTTGTCTCCATGCCCTGAAGTACTTGTCAACAGCTGCATGCCGAGCACAGTGACGGTTTCTGAAGCCCTGCAGACTGACTGCCTTCCACTTTGTCCGCCTAAACATCAATCTTACAGTCTCCGTGAGAAAATTGTAACAGATTGTTAAATCAATTTTCCCATTTTAACAGGGCCCAAATGCTGAGTATAATGAGACCAAAGCCAGTTGAGTGAGAGTCATTAATTCAGGACTAAGACTGTAAAACTTGATATGTGAGCTCTGACACACACACAGGTGGGGTTCGGCTTATACTGCTACTTTAC